ACCTGCCCGCCGCCTGCGTCCCGCGGCACCGCCCCTGCCTCCGCCCGCCTTGGGGCCTCGCCTGATACAGCAGCGCGGAGGGGCCAATCTGAGCCAGGCTTCGCACGGAGGTTTCGCAAGATACCGTCTCAACCGAGCGGGGCAGGGGAATTCCCCGTTCCTCCTGAGGAAACATCCTATTCGGGGTACGGCTGCGTGCCTGAACATCTCTCCCTGCGCTCACCTGCAAGCCGGTCACCGGAGGGGAGAGGGCTGCTCCCCAGGCTGGCTGGGACGGGGCGGCTGCCAGCCGGCCCTGGCAGAAAGCCGACAGGAAAGCTGGGCGCAGCAATTGCCTGTCCTGGGCACTCACGCATTGCACAGGTTTGTGTCCTCAACTGACCCACGCAGCTGAAATCAGGGACTTCAAAATAGCAGCAAAAGGGCTCACGGTGAATGTTTGTAGCCCTGGGTCAGAAATACAGCAATTACCCCAAAGTAGCTCAAAGCCTTATGGACAAAGGCTTCAAGTAGCAGCAGCATCCAAAGACTAGTGAACGTGAAAGCCACAGCGCTGATGATTCAAACACTGCCCACGGCAGTGAAATCCTGCAGGTAAGGTGGTCACCAGCAATAGTGGCAGCGCCTGGAGGGCAGCAATACTGACCCACATCCATGCCAGCTCTCACACCAGAGCGAGCAACGGAGCCACAAACAGCAACCACCACGGCAGCGTAGCATGCTTGGTTCCCATTCCTTCATTCTCTCTGATCAAAGGCTTTGAAATTAGTTTCAGTTCACTTTAATTAGCCTTATTGGTCATCTCAGAGGATAGCCTCTATGCAATTACGATTTTTTTAAACAGTTCCAGTTGTCCTGAATGACCAGACCTACACCAGTTATTTTTAAAAATCAAATTGCGTCCAAGTACCAGTTCTGATTAATCTGTTCTGTCCTGGGGAAAAAATGTGTCACCTCTTGCAAAACCCTGGCTTTTTGGTCAATCAGTTTTCCAAAGTCAGGCAAAATCTCACTTATTGCAAAACTAATAATACACTGACGCTAGGGATGTATTTCTGGATGCTGCTACTTCCAAGCCTGTGTGATCCATTTTTAGAACCAAAGACACACCATGTTTCTACACAAGAATGAACAATTCATTCCGTTTCAGTGAGTGACACAGAAGTAGTTTTAGTCCCTTTAACTACAGTACATTTCCTCCATAAAAACAAATCCAAGTGTTATTTTCCCGTAAGAAAAAAAGATGGCAAAAAAGTTCAGGCGTTGTAACTGGCCTACTTAAAAGCTATGCCATTATAAACCAGAAACTTTAACAGCATTGTACTGTCAGACCTACCTCTTGTGTAATTCCTGTCATTAAAGGGCGGCCGTTTCATAGGCATGCGCATTAAGCAAACAAAAATTTATTAGAAAATAAAGGTCTGGACAAAAATTATTCTGGCAGAGGAAAAAAATGCTTTTCTAAACACTGACCAGTGATTCTGGCAGAGGAAAAAAAATGCTTTTCTAAACACTGACCAGTGTCAGCATAATGTATTGAAAAAAGACACCCCCAAGCCCCACAGTTCTTGAACGGTATGTAGCAATCCATCTGTTAATACTGATGTAAGAAAAAGTGTATTACCAGGCCAGATTTTATAATGTCAAAATATATATGAAGCAGGGATACTAGTACTAATGGGTATCAATCAATTATTAGGCAGCTGCTGAGTTTAACCAGTGACAGGTGGGGAGGAAATTAAGTGATCCAGTGTATTGCATTAAGGTTTAAATTGACATACAAAACTATACGTCATTCCTGAGGAGACAGCAAATCGAGACATAAGGAGACAGCAAACTGAGACATAATTATTTTAAAATAGTGTCTGTGGCTAAATTTCTCTCTCCAAATAAAGAGTGAATGCATCTCTAAGACTTAACCCATACTGCTTTTCATTCCCTGCCCCTAGAGAAAAGTTTTCCACAAAGAGCTAAATTCATCAGTGCATGCTCTTTAATGAACTCAAGTCACAGTTCAAGCGGCACTGTGCTTACTAGTTAGAAAACATTTATGAAACTTCTATTCTTTATAGTCTTAATTACAAGATATTCCAATATTTTAGTGAAGCATCAGATATAATTACAGTGCATTATATACAGAGTACAGAAATATTTTTATAGGAAAAAATAAATTAAAAAAAAGTAAACATCCTGAGTGAAATTCTGCTGCCACTGAAGTCAGTTACAGAGCCATCAGATATGAGCACAGGCAGTATTTCACCCCTCTTTTGAAGCATACAGCAGTGCACATAACTTCATTCAAAACAGTTTAAAGTGCATGCTGCCACTAGTCAGTTACAGAGCCATCAGATATGAGCACAGGCAGTATTTCACCCCTCTTTTGAAGCACAGTGCACATAACTTCATTCAAAACAGTTTAAAGTGCATACAACGTTGTAAAAAAAAAATTCATAAGCTTTTTAAAGTTTTACATATGCAGATTACATTCATATCTATTGCGTCTCCTCAATCCCATCTCTTCTGATTCAATCGCATCTTTGTTTATCATTTCTTGGTCTTCTACCACATCTGGCTCAAACTGGTGTACTTCACATTCATCGCTTCATTCAAAACAGTTTAAAGTGCATACAACGTTGTAAAAAAAAAATTCATAAGCTTTTTAAAGTTTTACATATGCAGATTACATTCATATCTATTGCGTCTCCTCAATCCCATCTCTTCTGATTCAATCGCATCTTTGTTTATCATTTCTTGGTCTTCTACCACATCTGGCTCAAACTGGTGTACTTCACATTCATCGTATAATTCATGCTCTTCCATCTTGTAATCACTATCAACATCCTCAAGCAAATCTTCATTACTGTCATCTTCTCTGTCATCTGTTTCTTTCTCTTGAGAATGTTCAGCAAATGACTGAATGAGATCTTCAAGTTTCTCATTACAAATGTGGCTGACATCTTATAATTAAAAAAAAATCAAAATGAAAGTTTAAATTACTAGAAAGGCTCCAAATTTCAGGGTCAGCTTAGAAGAATAATATTTATTTTTTATTTGTTTTCTCTCTTTTATTAAGACTCAACTAATGCAAAAGTTCCCCAAATTTGTAGTGAACCATTCTTAACATTTAAGATTTCTCTGGACTACTATGCACCTCTTGGAAGTCTCCAGTTGAAACTAATATACAATTTGCTGTTTAGTATATTATGCAAGCATTACCCACAGCCTCAGAGGTCCCTATCTGTGAATCCTCAGACTAAAGTTAGTCCAATACTAACAGACTGCTCAGGAACTCACATTCAAGAAGCCCGTTTTAACAAAGCAGAACGTGATTGTGTGGTCTATCCTAGTTCAATCTCTTTTAACACCTATTCTTAAAAACCAAATGATGTATCAAAAATCTGAAATTAGATACACCTCAAACAGGAAGAATGGTACTCCTCCAGAATAAAATTAATTCCACACACATTACCTAAGATGCAGGAGCTGAACATTATTATAGTAAGATCTGTTTACTGTTTTAAAATATAAACTACTTAGTTATCTATTTTACTGGAAATCGAAGTACCTTTCATCTTGTTTTCTGATTTATCCAATCCACTTTCTTTCATCAGTCGTCTAATTGATTGGAGCTGTGTCATTATTTCATCTTTCTGCTCACAAGCTAAAGCATTAACACTATAAAAAAAGACAGATGTCAACAGCTGAAAGATTACCTTGGAAGTGAGTGCTTGATAATAATAATAATGCACAAGACTGCAATATTTCCTGCAGTGGAAAAATACCATAGTTAAGTTAGCAACACATTTAGGTCAAGCTTTTCTTTGAGAACTGCCCCTGGAGAAGTGGGGAGCCCATCACTTAGACCTACTGAATAATCTAGACACTGAATTCTAACATTGGAGCCCCAAAGGCCAAGACTGAGTAATGACTACTGAAAGAAACAATTCTCCAAAGCGATTTCATTTTGAGGACAACAATGCCTAATACAGAACTTTACAGTTTACAGGCTTTTCTCATTTATTTCAGATTTTGTTTACTCTCTCTCCTCCCCATCACTGCCAGAAATTTTTTAGGCAAATTGGTCAGTGAATTTGCTGCTTAATAGTTTCAGCACATATTAAGTTCAGAAGTACACTAAAGGAACAATCATGAAATTCTGCATGTTTTAAACTAGGCTTCATGAATGATGTCAGTCTACACAAAATAGCCTGTATGGATACTTTTATTTCCAACAGATGGGTAAGGCCCTAGCTTCTTAAACAAAGAACATCTCTAAAACTACTTATTCCTTTGTTTTACACAACAACAAAGAAGTTATGTTTCCCCCAAACACACACAGTCACTTAAGAGGTTCCTTTCAAAACACAAAAATACGCAGCTATACCTTAATATCTATTTTTGTCTTCTAAAGATATCAAAAGGAAGAAACTCATTCTGCTACCAGAAACATAATTCCCAGAAGGGCTTTCAAATGCTACTGAGCTTAAACATTTTTTTAGTATTACTCTCCTTGGTTCACATCAAAGTTTAAGTTGTTAAGCTACAGTAACTTCATCGTAAGTCTGAGCTTTTACATTTATGTTTGGTGAACAAGACGTGAGGTGTCTGTGAAGAGACTGCAAATGGCAGAAAAGGTATTACCTGCAAAAGGCTACAGAAACAGTAAGTAATTAAAGAAGGTTCTGAAACACTGTTCCCTACTTATACATAAGGAACATTTTAAGAACTCTTTGTTAACATTTTGGAGAATTTCAATTTACAGAAAACAATACTAACTGAGATGTTTTAGAAACACTCACCAGTTTGACAGTGGATCCAGCTGAGTCAATAAAGAATTTAACATTTTCTCTGTCTGTGCTAGATGCTGCTCCAGTTCTAAAAGCTGATGCTCTAACAAAAAACAAAAGCAAAAAAAAAGAAAGGAGGGAGGCAGAGGGAGGAAGCGGGGGGGCAGGAGAGAGAACATTGTATGAAATGTATTTACAATACCAAAAGGATATTAATTTATATTTTTGGTTGGGCAGATTCAAAAACAGGAAGGTTGTTTTCTCTATAAAATTCTAGAATATGAAAAGGCAGTGATGGGGGTAAGAACAGAAGTCTTATCATGTGTGACCAGAAGTCCTCCTCATCCAATAACCTGTCTGCAATAGTGTCCAACAGAGGACATCTTAGAATCACAGAACAGAATCGTAGAATCATTAAGGTTGGAAAAGACCTCTAAGATCATCGAGTCCAACCGTTAACCCAACACCACCATGCCCACTAAACCATGTCCCTAAGCAAATGTCCCTAATCTTGGTAGAAACTGAGCGAGAATGGGGCTCTCACCTTCCCAGCCCCCAAAATTATGCAGTTCCAAGACTTCCTGAGGCATAAATAGTGTATTTATACTTAATACACTGTCATGAATTTGCCTATTCATACCTTGCAAATACATTCAACACTTGATGCACTAGAGTTGAGAGGAGTAACTCCACCTAAAACACTATTAAACTTTGAAGAAAGAAGAATGCAATACACAAGGATGGTGAGTAGGCAGTGTAGCAAATCATTGCTGAACCTGATTACAGATCTGGTGTACAGGGACACCAAAAGAGGCTGCTAGTTGTTTAATTAACTAAAAATGTGCCTACACAAGGGACAAAAAAAAAAAAGTATGAAAACAGCTCAACTTTGATGTGACATAACTTTTTCTCCAAAGGAAAGCCCACTTCTTGGCACATGCAGAATAGACTGAATCAGACAGTCAAGAGTACTCTATCATGAAGAAAAAGATGGTATCATTTATTCTGTCTCTTCTATAAACACTTCAAGTTTTTGACAGGTCTCTAGTTTGGCCCAGAAATTCAACAGTCTCTGTAACTGTTTATC